CTTTTTTCTGGGATACATTAGACTATTGGTCTCTCTATGTTTTTACATACGGATTCCAAGAATTCTTCTGATTTGGCATCCTGGCGGAAGAAAACTCTCTGAAAAGATCACAATTGTTTCTTCTCGCAAGTTTATATTTGTGTTCTTTTGGAATTTATACCAGACATTTCTATATTAATATTCATTGTTTTTTATTATATTTCCCTCATTCTGTTTTATATATATATCACATCCTGTTTTATCAGCTTTCTGTGTTGCCTACCTGTATCAGAGTCATATTGTTTTGGCGCAACCTCCTCTCCCTATCCTTATTACCATTGTATCTGTGTGTATCCATGAGTGTCAGTGTGTATCTGTGAGTATAGGTGTGTACCTGTGAGTGTCAGTATTTATCTGTGTGTATGTGTGTATCTGTGAGTGTCAGTGTGTATCTGTGAGTATCTGTGTGTGTGTGTGTGTGTATCTGTGTATGCGCCAGTGTGTGCTTGTGACGAGACCAATCTCGCCACATTGCATTGGAGGAACCTGGTTGCCCGCCTGTTGCCTTTTGGATTGTGGCCCCATGTTAAAAGCCTTCTTTTCCCCTGCAGAAAAGGCTTATTCGTGCCTTTCTGCCCCAGATTCAATCTACTGAACTAACGCACGAATGACTGGACCACCTGGGAGCTGGAGTGTGTTGGCAATTAACCTCCCAGAAGCTGCGGTTTACTGCAGCTTAATTAACGAATGCTGGATGGCCTTTGTTCGTTTGCCGAACACGTGGAGGCGGCCATTTTAAAGTCCCGAACGGCCAGCGGTGTTCAGCGCCAATACTATGGAACTGGAAACAGACATTTATTTGCGCGAACACCGCTGAGCCGTCGGCCTCCTTGCTTCTGGATTCGGTCATTTAACCAGATGCCTGTTCATTCGGTAGTTTAAACTGTATGAACAGCATTACCCCAGATAGCCATCCCGTGGAGTCTATTCGTATGGAGAACAGACTTTGTGAACACTTTAACTCCACGGCGATTGGACTGTGTGCATAGCATCTGAGCGCTATTCGGTACTTTTGTGCGCTCAGATCTAAGCTATCTGGGGATAGGTAGAATGTATATGTTTTGTGCAACAGTTGTAACTTTATAAATTTTTATGTGTTTTACTGCCATGTGGTTAATGGAGTTTTGCCTCTGTCCTGGGAGATAATTGGATTACTTCCCAATTATGTCCAGGACAGAGGGAGGGAAGTTAGGATGCATTGTGGGGATGTTTTACCTCTATGTGTCTGTCATTGGTTCATGTCTGTCCTTTGTCACAGTCTCCCATTTGGTCCCCTAGGGGAGTGTCCACCAGGTGGGAGACCTGCATAAATACTGGGCAGGTAGCCCTCATTAAACCAGACCACTGCTTGACCCTCAACACGGAGCTCTGTCTCGTTCTTGGGGGATTTACTGTATGCTGTTAGAGACTGATTGCCAGGAGTGTAAGCCGCTTGGGTGCTTTTCCTGTTCGTCTGCTAGCAGCTATTCGTATGTTCCAGTTTGGGAGTTTGAAGTGCTACTTTGTATGCAGTTCGGGAGTTTGAAGCATTCCCTTCTCCTACACTGAATTTTCAGCTGCAGAGACTAAGTCCCATTCGAAGATTCAGTGTGAAATTGATCGACCGCACAGCCCAAATCTATGGAACTGTTTTGATCATGAAAATGTGCTTGTGGTTGGTCATAAAAGGACTTCCTGCTAACTTTTTAACCCCTGGATGGAATTGGCTGAACTTTGACTATGTTTATAATTAAAGTGTGCTGAATTATAATATGTAATGCAGATTGAATGCATATTTTTAAAGTTACAGTACATGTGTAAAAACTGTATTTCTCTGCCTGTGATAATTACATTAACCCATTGTGTAAGGTAATTGTATCACAGGCAGAGGGGAGGATTTTGTGTGGGAGTGTCTGTTTGTATTGTACATATTGATTGGTTGTTCTTGATTGGTTGTTCTGCAAAACCCTGTGGGCGGTGCTATGTTTGTAAAATGGGCATAAAAGCAGAGTGTTGGATTAAAACCTTGAGTTCTACTTCACCATCAATTTGGAGTGCCATCTCTTATTGGGGGAATCTGCTACAAGGGATTGCTATGCTTTTCATACTCCCTTGCTAAATCACTGCTAAGCTCTTATAAGAGCTTGTTCCTATTTTGCACTCAGAAGGAGTCTACGGTGGTTATGGTGTCTGCTGGAGTGCTGGAAACCCTCAGGAAGCTCTAGGAGCATCCTTCAACAAAGGTACCCAGTCGGGGTGCCAGGTGATCCGTTACACTCCTAAACTAAAGCCCCCTGGGCCCTATCCTTCTGCTGCAGTCCACCACCAGTGACACACACAGGTTAAAATGGCAATTAAAGGTTAATTTCTCACACCTGTGGCTTTTTAAATTGCAATTAGTGTCTGTGTATAAATAGTCACTGAGTTTGTTAGTTCTCACGTGGATGCACTGAGCAGGCTAGATACTGAGCCATGAGGAGCAGAAAAGAACTGTCAAAAGGTAATGGAACTTTATAAAGATGGCAAAGGATTAAGAAGTGGAATTTTGGAGGATCTCTTTATACCAAGCCAAGCTCAGGTAGACCAAGAATGATTTCAGCAACAACTGCCAGAAGAATTGTCCGGGATTCAAACAAAACCCACAGGCAACCTCAGGAGAAATACAGGCTGCTCTGGAAAAACACGGTTTGGTTGTTTCAAGGAGCACAGTACGACAATACTTGACCAAAAATGAGCTGCATGGTCGAGTTCCAGAAAGAAGCTTTTACTGCACCAATACC